GACTTAGTCAAACGATCTACAATTACCCAGATAGAGTCAAAACTAGCCTGGGTCCTCGGCAAACCAGACACAAAATCCATTGAAATACTCTCCCATTTCCATTTAGGAATCTCCAAAGGCTGTAATAACCCCGATGGCTTTTGGTGCTCTATTTTGACCTTCTGACAGGTCAAACACTTACTAACATACTCTGTGACATCCTTTTTCATGCCTGGCCACCACCAATGACGCTGCATGTCATGATACATCTTAGTAGCACCGGGATGAAGGGTGTAGCTACTTCGATGTGCCTCATCCAACAATTTCTTCCGAATAGACTCATTGTTAGGAATACACACCCTATCCTTGAAAACCACATACCCATCATCACTAAACCAATAGTCCATTATCTCACCATTCTCGATGTCTTGACTTATTTTTGACAAAATCGGATCTTGAAGCTGAGCATCTCGTATCTCTTTCCAAAATTCATTAGAAATAACCATAGTATTAAGACCATTCAAAGAGAACTTAGTCATACCCAAAGAAGTTTCAACCAAAGATTCCATCAATCTATGCTCCTGAACCATTAAATAGGCTACATGTAAGGTCTTGCGACTAAGAGCATCTGCTACCACATTTGCTTTTCCCGGATGATACTTAAATTCAAAATTATAATCTTTAGAAACTCCATCCAACGTCTCTGTCTCATATTCAGCTCTTTTTGATCCACCAGGTACTTGAGACTTTTATGGTCGCTCATGACCCTGAACTCTGTTCCATAAAGATAATGACGCCAGATCTTTAACGCAAAGACCACCGCAGCCAACTCGAGATCATGTGTTGGATAATTCTCCTCATGCGGTCTAAGTTGTCTAGATGCATATGCCACTGCTCTCTCATCTTGCATTAGAACACAACCAAGACCCTTATGAGAGGCATCAGTATACACATCATAGGGCTTTTGAGGATCCGAAATCACCAACACTGGAGCTGTTGTTAACCTTTCTTTCAACTCAAGAAAAGCTGTCTCGCACTTATCATCCCAGATAAATGGCCTATCCTTCCTTGTGAGTCTAGTCAAAGGCATAGAAATCTGAGAGAAACCTTTGATAAAACGCCGGTAGTAACCTGCTAATCCCAGAAAACTACGGATCTCAGTTATCGATTTTGGTCTCTCCCATTGCATGACTGCTTCAACTTTATATGGATCAACTGCAATACCATTTGCCGACACGATATGTCCCAAGAACCTAACCTCTCTCATCCAAAACTCGCACTTACTGAGCTTGGCATATAGCTTATGATCTCGCAGAAACCTTAGGACAGTCCTCAAGTGTCTGGCATGCTGCTCCTCATCTTTAGAGTAGATCAGTATATCGTCAATAAAAACTACCACAAACTGATCCAAGAAAGGTCGAAAAATGCGGTTCATATAGTCCATGAAAACCGCAGGCGCATTAGTCAGCCCGAATGGCATAACCAAAAACTCGTAATGACCATATCGAGTCCTGAAAGCAGTCTTTGCCACATCCTTCTCACTAACCCTCAGCTGATGGTACCCTGAACGTAAATCAATCTTAGAGAAAATCGTGGCACCAACCAACTGATCTAAGAGATCATCGATGCGAGGCAGTGGGTACTTGTTCTTCACCGTAACCTTATTCAACTGCCTGTAATCGATACACAATCTTAAACTACCATCCTTCTTCTTCACAAATAAGACAGGAGATCCCCAAGGAGAAACACTAGGTCTAATAAATCCCTTATCTAACAGCTCCTCAAGTTGCTTCTTCAACTCAGCTAACTCTGAAGGAGCCATTCTATAGGGAGCCTTTGAAATTGGCTGAGTCCCCGGTACCAGGTCAATTGAGAATTCAACCTCACGTTCTGGAGGTAATCCTGATACATCCTCAGAAAACACCTCTGGGAACTCCCTAACAACCTCAATTTCATCCACTATACCTGTCTCAGACCCTTGGGTAGCGAGCACTACCACGTAAGCCTCACATCCCTGCTCAATCAACCTTTCAACTTGTAAAGAAGAAAGAAAACAAGAATGACCAGGGTATTCTTTGATCACCTCCGGTACTTCTACCAAAGTCACTGTCTTAGTCACACAATCTAAGACAGCACCATAAGCTGTCAACCAATCCATACCAATAATTAAATCAATCCCTTGCATAGGTAATTTGATCATATTCACCCAAGTCGATCGCCCATTAAAAGTCATCTTAGTCCTACACACCACACTGGATCGACCAACCAAACCAGAAGTAGAGGAAACTTCTATATCATGGGGCAACTGGTCAACAGGCATAGCCATTCTATCTAAGCGCTCGGCAGAAATAAAAGAATGCGTCGCACCACAATCAAACAAAGCTTCTAAATCGAGGCCACAGATAGAAACCATACCAGTGATTAGATTCGATGACTTCCTAGCCTCCTCCTGAGATACTGTATACACTCTACCAGGAATCACGTTCCTCCGGTCCGAGCTCTCATGTAAATCAGGGCAGTCACGGATCAAATGGCCTAACTTTCCACACTTGTAGCAAGCAAAACAGCGACCAAAATGAACCCTACCACATCTATTGCAAGGTGACCTCGCTGTGCTTAGAATTGGGGCTTGACTGGTTTGTGAAGAACGTGCTGGAGCATTCCCAGAGAAACGAGAACCCCCAGATCTCATATTACCACCCCGATTACCTTGAAATCTTGAACCCCTATTTAAATTTCGATTACCAGAAGCAGAAGAAGACCCGATTCTAAAGGAGCCACTAGAAGAAGAACCAGAGCTAAAACCCATTCTCTTGGATACACCACCAGTAGGAGCTAACCCAAAAGAAAATCGACCTCGTGTATCCCTACTCCGGCTACTCTCTGTGTCTCGGCCTCGACGAGCGGCAATCCTCAGACGATTGCACATCTCATCATATGTCGCCTCGCCTAACAAAGATAGCTGCTGGCGGTATTCTGGCCTCATCTTTTCTAATAACCTCTTTGCTTTCCACTTGCTATCATTAGAAGCCTTTAGATATGTTGAGAACTTAGACAGCTGATTGAATTTTCTTATAAAAGTCTCCTCGTCTAAGTCCCCCTGCTGAAATGCATGAAACTCTGCCTCTTTCTCATCTCTGAAAGCTGGCGGAAAGTGAAAATCATAAAATCTTTCTTTAAATTCATCCCAAGACATAGATCTTCCATCTGTGGGCTTAACAGAATCCCACCAATGCTTGGCTTCACCAACAAGCTGCATCGTAGCCAAGATAACCCTCTGCTCAGATGTACACCTCACAACAGTAAATAACTGCTCCATCCGATCCAACCACTCCTCAGCTTTCCCATCAAGCATACTACCATCATATGTGGTCGGATTAGAGCGAGAGAATTCCTTCCAAGGTTCGGATATGTCATCCTCTCGATTATTAACAACTGGTGCATGAGCTCCCATAGTACTAGAAGATCCCTGCCCAGCACTTAGGTCAACATGCTGATCTGGAACAGTATGACTTCTAAGATTTTGCTGTATATCCACCATAACTTCAAGCAGCCTAGCCATGACTGCATCCGTCCCCTGTGGTGGTGGTGGAGGTGGAGGTGGAGGCGGAGGCGGAGGAGGTAGAGGTGGTGGTCGTTCCTCATTCCTCGATCTACCCCTTCCCCTTCGAGCCATATTAGAACTGAAAGGTGTACGGCCACAAGCGTACGGACCTTTCTCCCCTCCTAAAGGAACAAGCCAAAGAAAGAAAAACAATATTAGTCCAGGTTAGTGGTAGAAGGGAAAGAGCATAAAAGTAATGTATTTAAGGTGCCAAGTAGGAAAAAGGAATCATAAACCTAAAACTGATACCAAATGTAACACTTGCCTTGAGTGTTATCCAAAAATCACATAATTCAAACAAACTAAGTGTGGTTAAGGAGTTGATCCTCTAACCAACTTAAGAAATAAATCATTTAAAACCTTAAAAATAATTATAGGTTCTACCTATAGCGCACGGAAGCAAGTTAGACGAAAATGGAATAAAAAGATGCTGTCATGACAGTAATTTATTGCTGTCATGACAGCCCTCCTGGGCCAACTTCCAGGAGGCGGTGTTCCGTCATTCGACCTCCGATTGAAGTGATTTTAAAGCTCACACGTCACATTCAAAGGGTACTATAAGTGTACCAAATTTCAAAAAGATCCAACGGTCGGATTAAAAATTAGACATGTTAAAAGATTGACTATTTTTGCTGTCATGACAGCTAAAAAGCTGTCATGACAGCACTTCCGGACCAACTTCCGGAGTGCACCATTTCATCATCTGACCTCCGATCGGAGTGATTCCAAAGCCCACATGTCACTTTTAAAGAATACTATTAGCATACTAAATTTTGAAAAGATCCAACGGACGGATTGAATTTTGTGCAGGTTACAAAATCAACACTGTAGCTGTCATGACAGCAATTTAATGCTGTCATGACAGCACCTCCAGACCAAATTCCGGAGTGCGTCGTTTCTCCGTCCGATATCCGATCGACGTGATTCCAAAGCCCACACGAAGCTTATAAAAGGTTTTACTTGTGACCCAAATTTTAGAGAAATCCAACGGTCGGATTAAGATTTGGACACCCGGATGCAAAAGTGCAGCTTTTTGGTAAAAACCATTTTCAAAATTGTCCAAATCCCATCCTAATGGTCACAAACCTGTGGAAACACTTTGGACACGTCAAATAAGATTAAAAACACTTGATAGAACATTCAAATGATGGAAAACCCCCATACATCAAAATTTGACCACCCGGGTGCCATTTCCTAAAATGGACCCTAAACCCCCAAAATGCACAAATCATACAAGAGTGGTCACAAATCAATCCAAATACCATGTATTTATATAAATACATATGCTAAACATTTTCACTTGGCTCAGAGCTCCTTGTGGGGCCCACGCACCCACTCTCTCTATCCAAGCTGTATGTTTTCCCATAGCACACCATTTGCAATGCAACCACTTTGCATTTGCTTATAAAATCACATATATATCAAAATAAAGATCTGCTTGTAATAGAAACTTGGTCTACTAAGTAAATCCATCAAAACCACACACCATAACCAAGTTTCCTAGCCACAAGTCTGCAAACAGACAAAAATTCATACACAAGCACACAATCCACACATATTCACACACACACACACATAATCATATCCTACTGGCACCCTAATCTTAAATACATTACAATATATTTGCTCAAAAGAAAGGGGTTGCAGTTCTTTACAAATCACAAGCAAACCCCTAGCTTTGCTCTTTTCCCCGTCCACCACTGGATCCTTCGCCTGGACCTAGAATATTGAAAAGAAAGGGGTGAGACAACCACAGTCTCAGTAACAGTGAAATCTATATTGATTATTACAAAGTAAGCCATAATCAAATAAATGAATAATAAATTCAACATAGTATATAATTTAGCCATTTAAAATGCATGAATGCATGACCTAGGCCGGTATGGCCTTTCATGACCAACAGAATGCCCCCTAGCACTCTTTAACTCGCAGGTAAACCTTATACCTACTTGTACCTCCACAGGCACAAAACATAATCTAAGGCATGATCTAATCCACCGAACCGCCTATGCCCCTTCGACGTGAATCCTGAGCAGTCAAAGCTAACTCCCTCCCAGAGCCAGCCCGACTTACTCTCCATGTGAGGGCTACCTTGGCCTAGGCACTCAACCTCACACTTCATATGTCGGATTCCCTCCCCCACTGAGAGGTGTCGAACACTCAATACACTAACCACTTTAGTGCACTGAGCCCACAATACGTAAGACAACACTGAGTACTGACAGTGTGCCATAGAATATCAAAAATCCACACCTTCTCATTGGTGAACTCCCACCGAGATCATGCCTTTTACTCTTGTCTACCTTTCCTGAGTATTGACCATTCAACACTCTAAAGTAGTATAATATTTATAAATCTCATTTCCATAAAAACATTGTTATTAAACAATTAGAAAACATATTTGCACTATAATCAAAGTAGTACCCCATAACCCCTTATAAAGCACATTTAATCTTTTAAAACATGTAATGCATGATAACTAGTAATATTTATTCAAAAATAGCTAAAACAAAGTAATAAAAAATATAAATTCCCCTGTTACCTCAACCCTTTGGTACTAAAAGGGTTCCCCTTGTACAAAATAGGGCTCGGCTTGTTCCTTACTTCTCAATAAGTTCCACCAACAATTTTCTACAACATATAAGTGATCCACATCACTTATCATGACAAATAGTATTAATGAAGACTATAACTTATACCACACAACTTAGGTCAATGAGTCATAATCCACCCTAATGGTCCATATATTAAACCAACCATTCACATAGTATCACTTAACCACCAAAACCATTTATTAGCCATTACTAGGCTAATTTTCAATTTATATAATTTTTTATCAATTAAAAACCTTCACTTAGTGTCACCAACTTTCACCATTAGCCCTTATAATGAAAACCAAACCTTAATTTAAATCTTATTGGGTTCAAATAGCAAAATTATAACTAAATCAATAAGCTTAAACCATTGAAGAGCAAAAACCCAATTTCTCAGGATTTATTTTGTGTCCAAAACACCTCTTTTCATCTAATTATCCACTCAAAATATTAGATCACTATATAGAAACTCAAAACATGCTCCCTAGGATCCAAAGAAACAAAAGCTTACAAGAATAAAGCCTTTGGAATCAAAATCCAAAAATCTCCTCTTCTAAAAATTGAAGAAAATCAAGAGAAAGAGAAGAGGATTGAAGTAGGGAGTTTACCTATCGTGTAGCCGAGCTCGCAACGGTCACAAAGACTCCTAGATCCGAGCCTAACTCCCTCTCTTTCTCCTTTCTTCTTCCTCTCTCTCTCTCTCTCTCACGTGTTTCCTTTCTTTCCTTGTTTTCTTTTCTGCGTTCTGGTCTGGTTTTTCATCTTATAAAAGCTGATTTAAAAGTTTGGGGAAAATTACAAGAAATGGCCCAACATTTTTTATTATTGCACAAAAGCCCGGGTCAACTTTGGTAATTTTTCCCATAGTTAAAAATTAAATAAAACTAAACTTTTGCTTAGTAAAATTCAAACTCTGGACCTCTATCAAATTATTCTAAATTTTAATTTAATTATAGATATTTTATTTTATTTTTATTTATTTTTTTAAATAAATTTGAGTCTTAAAATTTTTAGGATGTTACATCTTGCATTACTTGAGGTTCATTGAACACTTTACAAATCAAAGAACAAATGGATGGCCCCGTTACATTGCAAAAATCTTGGTAAAGGAAAGCTTGAATCCTATCAGATACAGGAGCTTTAAACACTCCAAGTTTCATGATAGCTTGTTTTATTTCTTCATCGTTGACTTCTCTATTCAAGTACATTAAGTCCAATTCATCTAGTATGGGAAAAGACTTGGTAGTATGGAGCTGTAGAGAATTCAAATTTTTACCAGAGAAAAGTGACTTATAGTATTCAAAAGCCACTCCCCTCATAGCTTTATTATCACTAACCTAAAATCCATTCTCATTTTTTTCAACTCGATTCTACTTTATTTCCATTTTAGGGATGGTAGAGAAGTGGAAAAATCTAACATTGCTATCCCCCATTTCAACCATTCACATCTTGATTTCTGGTACCATAAGAGTTCTTCTTGAACAAGGGCTTTATTGTGCTATTTCCACAGTTCATTTTCAACTTGTTGCAAATATTGAGAATCTTTATTAACTCTAACTTTATCTATGCCTCCCAAGCATCTAAGGAGTTTTCTTTTTTTTGACTAGAATATTCCCCACCCAACTCTCATTCCACACTAGAGCTTATTTTGCAAAGGTCTTAACGTAGTCATCCCAATTATCTTTATTCCAAGCTTCCCTTACCAACTCTAAGAAACTGTAATAACCCTAAATTCTAAATTAAAGTAAATTAAATTAATTTTTTTAATTGATATTTTATTTAAATTAGTTTTATAGTAAGTGGAGAGTGATAATTTAAGTGAAACTTATACTAATAACTTTCTTAAAGGTCTAGAGTTTAAATTCTATTGAGCAAAAGTTTGATTTTATTTTATTTTAAATTATAAAAAAAATTTGTGTACTGTCTTGTAAATTTTCTCATGCCTTTCTTGTAATTTTTTCAAATTATTTTCAATTAATATTTTATTCTTTTTTAACGGATGAAGAACAGAGCATTGTTTTCATTTCCTTCCTTCTCTTCACCGACATGAACTCTCTCTCTCTATTTCTCTTCGATCTTTCTAGCGAGCTCACATCATTGTGCCTCTAGTCATCATTCTTCCTTCTTCCGCCAGTGTCCTCTTCAATCTCCGTCACTACAGGTTCGGTCTCACCTCTTTGCTCTGTAATTTTTTGTTGATGTAGTAGGAGTTGTGTGGGCTTCATCTTCCCTTTCCCCTCATCTGCTGCCCTTTAATCTGTTGGTGGTCTTCAACTCCCTTCTTTGCAGCTGTGCTTTTACAGACGGTGTATTGGAAACGTGAGATTTCTTCCTCTGTCGCCATCCCCTATCTCTTTGCGGCTCTGTGGTCAGTGGAGGTGTGTGTTGTGCGCCCTCAGTCTTCATCTCTTCATCCTTTCTCAGCGGTAAGTCTCACAGGGGTTTATGTGGTGAGCTCAATCTCTTCTCTTCCTCTAGCTTCCACTCTTGTTCTTCATTTTCTAATTCTGGCTGTCGAAATTTTTTTTTGGATATTGAGGTGCTGTTTGGCTTAGGTTGGGTGTTACTTTATTTTGATATTGAACTGAGTTGTAGAATTAAATGCTTGAAGTTGTTAGAAGATTTGAATGTTGATTTCATGATTTAGCTCATGGTGTGCACTCAACATTTACAAAAATGCTTGAAGGAATGTTGTTAAATTGGCATAATATAATTTTAAAGGATTATATGTAGGGTGACTTAAATTATTATTTGGGATTTTAAAAGAGTAAAGGAGGAAAAAGAATTACATCTAATACTCGTATAGTACTTTATTAAGTATAAATGAAGGATAAGATTATTATAATTTATGATTGAAGATAGGTTACAAAAAGACATATGTATGAATTAAGGTTTGTCAAATAGTTTAATTGAGTTAAGTATAATTAAAACTCAAATGAAGATAGTGCCTCTTAATTATTGCTTGCAAATTGATTATTAGTATATTGTGAAGTATGAAGTTGTATATGATTTGATTTATATTATGTTTTAAGGTATTTGAATATAAAATTTAGTGGAAATATGCTTATTTAATTTTCATAATAGGACCTAGAGGAACTATAAATGTTACTTGACGGAATATATGTCTTTACATACAATTTATAAATTTGAACTACACATGGGAATCTTGTAACACCTAAAATGTAATTGTTAAACTAGATGATAATTAAGATTTTTGTTAAGTTTTGGAATAAAGGTTGAGTTAATTATTACAATTGAATGTTGCTAAGTATTGTTGGACTACTTGATAGAAGTTGTTGGAGGGTTCAGTAAGAGTTGAAGGGGTTAATGAGAAATTTAGAGAATTATTTAAGAACTTGAATATTAATTTTGCTTGTTTATATTAAAAAAGAAAATCATAATGACACAAAGATTATTGGTTTATGTGCTAGATCATTTGTGGTATCACTAAAGTATATGAGAACTTGAGGAGGTCAAATTGTAAAATTCCTTGAAACCCTCAAGTGAGTGGATGACATTTTGAGTAAATTTCTAATCAAGTGTTTATAAAATCTCTTTATTTAAATTTTACTATTGTTCCTTTATAAATTGTATAAATATCTTTGTTAATTTTATTTTTCTAATGATTGTTTTACTAATGACAATGTTTTGATCTTACTAATAATTTATATTGTTAATAAATAATGATTGAAACAGATATATAATAAATGGTATTATTTCTCAAAAATAGTTTAATTACTTAATTCTATTTTGATATAAAAATTTTTATACAATGATTCATGTATGGAGGAAATGATAATAAATTTAGGCAATGAAAAAGGATAGTTGAATAGTGTTTGAAAGTGAAAATTTTAAAATTGTTTTTCTTACTCCATACACACTTGATTTTATTAAGGGGAACTGAGTTTAGAACATAGGATGCTAACGGCAGTTCTGCTAGCCCTTGGCGCATCCTGATATACCTAGCTAACAGAGTGTTTATAGAGGGTGTTAGCCCTGTGCGATGGCCAACACACGTGGAATGGAGGGATGGTGATTCGTGAGCATCGCACTCACGATTGTTTTTGTGGGCTTTATGCTTGGGCTTGATTCGTGGCTTCTGCCATGCCTGTTTCATGACTTTCAGCCGCGCTTGATTGGTTACTTATTGTTTTAAACTGTGTATCCACACTTGATTAGTTACTTACTTTCGTGGATTGTGTGTCCATACTTGATTGGTTACTTACCCTCGTAGATTGTATATCCACACTCGTTATTCGTTCTGATAAAACCCTCCTAGATTTAAATTAAATTTTATCATTTTTAGATTGATTCTTCAAAAGCATTTTATTGAATTGCGTTATTATTGAAATTGTATTTTATAAGTAGTACAAATTTTAATACATTTATGTGATTCTATTAGCATTGTTAAATTTGATGGTTATGTTATTGAGAAAACTTGTTATTTATTGTTAATTAAGTATATGTTTAATTATTTCATTGAATTTTTTTCCAATTAAGTTTATTAGTAACTATCATTATAAATTCTCATTATTTATTTATAATTTTGATTGAAACGCTACTCACTAGAAATTATTTGGTCTCAACTATTGTAACTGACCCTGCACCTCCTGTGGACTATTGAGGAACCCTATTATTGCTAGAAAAAGGAAATACATTGTGAATATCCCTTTTTGGTAAAATTTTATATTATATAATTGTACGTTAGCATTTCATGTATACAATAGTTAGATCCTAATTTTAATTTTGTTGATATATAATTTGTTGGTGTGGAGCAAGGCTCCTTTACTGAATTGGCTGATAGGTTTTATTATTGTAGAAATTTTAGGAGGTCTAATTTACAGGGAAGACTCTGCAAAATTTTCTACAAAATATTTAAATTTTTTTGAACTATATAATTATATATACATATATATGTCACTTAGTTATCAATATTTAGCTTAACCTGATATAATTAAGGCTCATAAAATATGAGTTTATCTCATATTCCATGTCAATCATACCCTTAATACTAGAGTATGACAGAAACCATCTTCAAGCAACTAAGTTGCCTGGCATCCAAACAAAACTTTTTATTTTTTCTGTTTGAACACATGTGGCCTCTAAGGTGGAGGGGCCTATGATTAGAATCAAACTTGAGAAAATGATAATTCTTAACTTCAGGAAAGAAAATTTTCCACTCAGTATTAGCAAGTGCCCAATCTTTATGTTTAGAAATTATATTATTGCCCCAGGTAAATCTACCCCTATAAAAACCTATGTCACCCAACTGTGCCTTCTCAATATAATCCTCAAATTGTCTCATAGCAATGAGATTATGTGCATCACTGCCCGATTTATCAAGGATGGATATATAAGCATTGAAATCACCAATAACCAACCATGCATTATTCATCTGAGAACCAATGTTGATCAAGTCATCCCAAAGAGGTTTACAAAGTTGGTAGTTTGGTTCACCGCACACACAAGATAACTAGAAAATTTCCCCATCATTAAGCATCGTAACCAAGCGGTGAAGAAGTTGTGTAGAAGAAAGGAACAGGTAACGTCGCACACATCACCATTCCATAATAATCAAATTCCCCTAGCATAGCCCGTTGCTTCCACTCTTATCCAATGAGAGAATCCCAGTTTACAAATAATGGAACTAGCCCTTGTCCCTCTGATTCATGTTTCCATCAAAATAAGAATATCACAGT